CACCCCGTTGGGCGAACCAGGCTTCTGTGCTGGCCAGTGGTAGCTGAGTAGTGCCACTGCGGCCCATGGACGTCTCGCGCCGTTCTTAATCTGTTTCTCTATCATTTCCAGGCTTTCTGCCTGCCTCCCACTTTCTTTTTGCATGTCACCTAGTATTATACGCTCCATACCCGTTTTCCTTTTCTTCTCTGTATAGAATATTTATTTTCCTTTCCTTGTGTGTGTCACCCTCCCTTCTAGTATGTCTTGATGTCTATCCTTGTCTCTGTTTTCTGTCTGTCTGTCTGTCTGTCTGTCTGTCTGTCTGTCTGTCTGTCTGTCTGTCTGTCTGTCTATCTGTCTGTCTGCCTTACTCCCTCTTCCTCTCTGACGTTATTCTTATAATTTCATTTTCACATTTTTTATGTTCTTTTATTTAACTTTGTAGGGTCCAACTTTGGGAGGTTAGAGGGGAAATTAAATTTGGGTTGTCACAACACGGAGCGAGATAAGTGGGTGGTTGGCGGGTGCTCTGGTGTGGTTTGCTCCTTCTTTCCTATCAAACATCTATCGTCCGTGTCTCCCCTTCTTCTTTTTTATGTTTGTTACTCTCTTGTAACACCTCTTATCTTCTGGCGCTCATGTGACCTTATGCAGTTGCGAGCGCAGTACAACCTCTACAAAAAAATATTTTTTTAAAAGGAGCGAGATAGATGTAGAATAAAGGTGGCAGGTTTTTCTCCAAACATACCGTGTCTTCTGTACTCTTCATTCGTGACCACCTGTCGTGCGTGGACCTGACATTTAACATCTTACAAAAACAAGTGAATAGTTCACATGTCCTCCACTGAAAATCTTTTTTAAAAACAATTTTAAACAAACTTTTTCATTCTTGTTTCTATTCAAATTTAAAAAATTCTTCTAGTAAATCATGCCTAAGCAAGTTAATCAATTTCATATCGTTTTTTAATGACACGTTACTCATCGTGACTATTCATGTGTACCTAATCTCTTGTTAAATTGGGTGTTTACGTGTGCGTTCAGGTGTTTACGTATGTTTGTGTCTGCATGTCTGCGTGTACTTTTGGGTGGGTGTGTTTGCATACTTGTTTGCACCCGTGTGTGTGTGTGTGTGTGTGTGTGTGTGTGTGTGTGTGTGTGTGTGTGTG